TGTTGATAAGGTTGTAGGTTGTTGATAAGGGAGGAGGTTGAAAAGTTAGCTATTTTCAGTTAACATTGAGGTTAGTGAATTTTATTTATTTTTAATGTCCAGGATTTTTTTCTGGTTTATAGAGAGTTAAACTTTTTGCAGATAACAGGAAGGCTAAAGATTGAAGTTTATGCTGCGTTCACACCGGACGCAGCAGGCGCGACAGAAGCAGCGAGTTTACATGCAAAGTTAATGGTTGACGCGCATCAAGGCACAGCATAAGGTCCCGCGGCGCATTTTGAGCAGCAGGCGCAGCGCGTCAGAGCAGCTGAAGCAGCGCGTCGGGAGCGTTTAAGCATCTGACGTGCGTGCCGCGCCGCAAACGCGCTGCTGGTCGAGATGGAAAAATTGAACTTTTGCTGCTCGACGCGCCGCGTCAACCAATCAGAGAAGCTGATCTAGGAGCTGGTAGGGAGAGAGACACAGCACTGATGATACAGAGCGCTATGATCACTCCTCTGAAACAGTTTATTGACACATAAATTAACTTAAAATGCAGAAATCTGCCGGCAGAATGTGTTCGCTTTTATTATTCTGGTGCCTGCAGATTGGATTATTTAGATGAAAAACACCTACCAGCCGCTGCGGTGAACCGCGAGGAGGCGACCCGGCCAGAGGCTGCAGTTGAAGGGATTCCTTCTGTCGGCGCATCGCTGGTATGTGGGGGTCTGAGTGGCTCCGACAGAAATAACATTGGAATGCAGGATTGTAATGTGGATGAACTGACTGCACTGATTAAGTTTTCAGGTGTATTTTCTCACTTAAAAACATATTAAAACTACTTTATTCCCACTGATCACAGCAAATATAGCTGCAAGGCAGAGAAAGGATAGTGAAGCTCCGCCCAACGAGCGTCAGACCCACTTTTGCACCAGAGCAGCAAAGCTGCTTCAGCCGTGCGTCAGAACTAACTGGTACAAGCAGCAAAAATGAAGCAGCAGACGCGATTTTGCTGCTCTTGCTGCGTCCGGTGTGAATGTAGCACTATAATAGGACCTCTGCACTCTGTGCTCTCTCTTGTATGCAGTGATGTCACTTCTGTTCCTACATAGGTGATAAAAGGATCTTGAAACCTGCTCAAAGTTCTTTGAAAGAATTGGATATTGCTCATATGGCTACAATCGGGTTCTAGTTTTGCAAAAGATTACCAGAGACTAACAACACTTGGTGCATCCTTAGAAATATGACAATAAGCTCCACATTAAAAAAATACATGAATGCTTTTTAGTAAGAAGTAGTTTGTAATTGTATGTTTTATCTTTCAGTGGCAATATACACTTTATTTGGGTTTATTCAGATGTCCATCTGGGCCAAAGGGAAGCACAAAGCCTACCTACGAGAGTTCAAAGACTATCCAAGTGTCCGGATGGCCATTATTCCCCTGATTTTTTGATCATTGATAACTGCTAAAGCTTGCATCCCATGAGGGCTGCACAATGCAACTTTGTACTGAGAAACTGGGTAAAAAAGCTGAGCAATAATGTAGAGATGCACTTCAGCTGCGCCTTAAAAGTTTCCTTTGAGTATTTTAAATTTCTGTTTAGTTGCAACAGCACAGACATGGACAATAGGTTTGGCAGCGACCCATATAAGGTTTGGCAAACTTAACAGCTTTCATTTGTGAGGTAACTAATCAGACCATGTAGATATAAACACAGAATAATCTGATGCATATTTGTTAACTAAAAAACTCTTGATTTTACCTCAGCAGAGATATATATATTTTTTTAAATAATTTCAAATCTATAGACAAGGCTGCATAATAGTACAGCAAATACAATGTTATTTGACTGGTAGGTTGATTGAAATTACATTTTCACCATTTTTTGCTCTGATATCTCATAACTTTCAGTGCTACCAATTACCCCTAGAAGTCACCTGAATAGTAAAGTCAGCCTGTTTGTCTTATCTTTTTTAAGAACTTCCTTGAAAATGAGGTGGATTTATCTCAAAGGACTTATCCTTTTCAATTTCAATAAAATACGTAATTGAAAAACACACTATAATGTTTGCTCCTGCAGTTCCATTCATTTTAGACTCGTAATTCCACTGACACCTGGTTAGTAGAGCCACCTTTTGCACTGGTACAGGTTTTATATGCATGCAAACTTTTTTTAAATCAGACCTTTTGTCTGGGAGGTCACTTAGCAATTGAAGAGTCGACCCCAACTGTGGAATATGCAGGTAGAGGCATTGTAGTGAGAGGCTTCAGGAGCAACATGGAGACTGGTCAGAGGTTCCTTTTGCATGAACCACATTTGATTTGCACTTCTTAATGCATGAGGCCCTGCGTTTGGATTTAAAAATATTAAGTTTAAAAGTTAAAACTTTTACCAGAGGGGGGTGAAGAACCAAAAACAGAAGTAATTCAATAAGAATGGCACTACTTCAACATTTTCTTACTAAAGTAAGAGGTGTTTGGTCAAAAGGCTACTTGAGTAATTGTTGGATACCAGCATCAGATTTAATGTTTAGAAATAATGTAGCTAGACAGACTTTATGTTCAGGAATGTACAAGTTCAGGTATTTTAAAGACTCAATGGAATGAACAATAAAAATAAATGTCATAAATATAAAAGAACAAATTCATGCAGAAGAAATACTTTTTTTTCTTTTTTTCCACTTAAAACTTAAAAACAGTATGTATGTTAGTATGTTAATTTAACGGATTATATCTACTGTTTACTTTATGTTTAAATGTTCAAATACCTCACAGAGGACAGAGTTAGAGATTTTATTCAAATTGGAGTAGTGATTCTTCACAAAAATATTACTCAAGTTAAAGCAACAAATATGGGAGAAAACTATTCCTAAAAGAAAATTTGTTTTCAAAATGTTACTGAAGTAAATCCAACTGACACCAACTGACACCATCAGTCAGGAATTAACCCAGATGTATGTTGTTAGAGGGAATAGCAAACGTTTTATTGAGTAGACATGCCAAATCCCTAATGTTTCACTCTTTTTAAAAGTTTGGAATACATCTACTAAATAAGAAAAAAATTGGAAATATTTTACTTGCTATGATAAAACCACAGAATTGCAACAAAAAATTGAAATCAGCAAAACTGCTGTGTTACTGCCAAATCCTTTGGTCTTGACTGTAGACGTTGCGTCTTTTTGAGGGTTAAGTGATGTGTACAAATGTGTACAAGTCATGAGGGACTAGTATCTTGCATGTTTTAGTTGTGCTAGTACTCTAACAGAAGATTTCAGAATTCAATAGGCTTCTTAAGGAGTCAGCAACTGAGTGTGCCGATGACCTATTCATATAATGTTGGGTTTGTTGAACCCTGGAAACATTGAATTTTGTGCATACACCACAATGGATTTAAAGCTAGCTAGTTGTTTCCTTTTTATGTTCTACTGATGAATGATGATTCTCCATGCAAACAGCACTAGCAGACATTGAAAATGATGCACTGCAAAAAAAATGAACTCTAAATAAGTAATTATTTTCTTAAAATAAATTGATTTTTTCTTGAAGTGAGGAAGTAAGTGAGACACTTTGGCAGCTTTGGAGCTTCTGTTTTCCATGTGTAAACAATCAATAAAGAGATGATTTCAAAACATCAAATTCAGGTTAGCATTTTACACGAACAGAAAGGCAACAACATTTTTCTGCATTCATCAAAAATGGTTGCTTGCAAAGGGCCTAAACATGCAGGACACTATCCCTTAAGGACTGACTTTCAACACCTCCATGTTAATTTAGTCTTAAAGCATGCATCACATTTTTATAATTTCTTTCCTCTTGTTGCAACATTGAACTTGTGTGCTTGAAATTTGTAAAGAGGAGAAAAAATATTGACATTGTATAATTTTGCATCCCTTTTATACAACCAGGAAGTCTTATGTCTGTCTTTTTTTTTTTTTTTTTTGTTAAATGCTGTTTTAGGAACTTTATCAATGAATTACATTAGAATTAATGGCTTTTTTAGCAAGGGGTATCGTATTTAGGATACTATGACATCTTTTAAAACATTTAGTGTTGCCTTTTGCTAATGAACCGTCGGGCCTTTTTACTGACAACACTGAAAATGTTCAACAACTGTTTAATATCAATATGTAGATGCTTTTACCATGTGGCTACTACAAAGAGCTTTGATTGTTGTTGTTTGGTGTCTGATCTCAGGTTTTCCTAAACCTTACTTGAAATAAAGGTGCAGATTTTACAGAAACACAAACTTTATTTTCATATGATGCATCTCATAGAAACACTTATTTTTACATTCATTCCTCATCCTCTAATGACATGAAGTATAATAAATGTGAGCAAACAACCAGAACTGGACACATGTAAGAAAAGCGTAAAGATGATGAAACATTATAACAAAAATACCCAGACGGGCTGATTTGAGTTTGCAGCATCAGCCGATGGATGTCTGTAGTAATAACCAAATGTATAAGTGAAATGTCATGGTGAGAAATTGTTTTGCTCGCAATCAATAAAGTGCAAAAAAAACTAAGCTTTTTCAAGTGCTTCTTTCACAGATTTATAAAGGCAGTTCATAAGTATTTGCTTGGCATCTGAAGCAGAGAGTACAAAGAGCTACGCTTTCTCCCAACACCGTATGCACATTAATTTTGATGTTCCGTCTGAAGAATTTGCTGTTCTTTTCCATATTTGTAAAATCGGGTTCTAAGGCGAGCAGGACTAGGAACATGCAGCAGGCACATAAATGCTCTACTATGTAACTTCTTTTGAGCAAAAGCAAAATAAAAGAGAACTCATGGCTTCCTTCTACACTCGGTTTCCCACATGAGAAAGATCACTCTCTATGAACAAAAAGGCTCAGAAAATCTGGCATTAGAGCTTTTTTTTATGATTCCAGAATAAATGCAGCTTTCGGTTTCAGCTGATTTAGACAGGATGAAGGTGTAGTGATCCTTTTAAAGTTCGAATATGGCAGCTGTTTTCAGCTGTCGTTGGATTTTTCCTCCTTCAAAGAGGAGGAAAAATCCAACGACAAGTAAAGTGAACGCCTTTCCATCAGCTGACTTTCACTTCCTGTAAGACTTGATCGCCGTGGTTTCAATGTACCGTTGGGCCCCTGCAGCTTTTGGGTGCAGCACAATGGTGTCATCCTCTCTGGACTGCTGCTTGGCAAAATTCACAAAAACCTGCAGGGAAGAGCAGAAGAGTTTAAGGAGGAAGGATCAGAAAAACAACCTGTTACATCAGACAGTGAGGGAGAAACAGCGGCTCTATGTTTTTATATAAGAATTAGTCACTCCTTCAATATTGGCCGACAATATCAAGCAACACCCCTGTTAAAAGTCATAGTTTTTATAATGTAAATCCATTTTAATTGAGCTGGAAAAGACTTCACTAAAATATTCATACACTTCGTGATGGAATATATTATGTTATGATAAAACCAACCTGAAAGTACAAAATAACCAAAATGAATCCTGTTCTGCTAGAAAGCTGATGATGAAAGAAGACTTCATTTTTAATTATCAAAGTCAGCACCCCTGGAAAGAAAAGTCAAATAAAGAGGACTACAAATAAGACATTTTTATTTGGGGGATATTTCCAGCTACAGAATGGCAAGTCAAAAAGAGGGATGCTAAAATGGGCATTAGCAGCTTGTTTAGGGGTGTACCATTTTCCATGTCATTCCAAAAAAGTTAAAGAACAAACCACTGGACTTTGTTTTCAAGTTTGAAGACATTTTGCTTCCCATCCCGGAAGCTTTTTCCATTTCAAAATGTCAGAAATAGCGTTGAGTTGCTTTAAACAGTAGCCCAAACAAAGCCTTGTTTTGGCTTAGACAACATGCAAATTGAAACGGACGAACGTGTCCACCCCTTAGGAATGGGGGTCGTTTGGCTTCTTTTGTTAGGCTGCAATGCCCCATACCTGTCTATGTCTCTATGACTATGACCTGGGTGACTGAGAATCTTCACCAGCATATTTTCCATGTCTATATGTGTCATTTTTCTTGTCTTAATTTGAATATACAAAATGTTTACCATGTTAAATGCTTCATGATGTGTTTTCTAACATAACGGAAAATGCACTTTTAACAAAGGTGTGTACACCTTGGATAACTAATGTATTGTTATATTAAAATGAGATAAAATGTAATAGGAAAGCCAATGTAAGGCTGTGGCATATTTGTATTTTTACCTGATCAAGAGTGGTCTGTGACACAGAGTAATCCTCTATGTTCAGCGTGTCCTTGTTAGCGAGGACCATTTGAAATATCCGTGCCAGAGATGGGGAGGAGATCTTGTACTGCAGGGTGTTGTGGTGTTTCTCCCTTTGGATGCAACCAGGGAAGGTGCTCTCCATGAAAGCCTCAGCAGGGTTCAGGTCTGGGGGGCAGCCGGGTTTGGCCGCCCTGATCTTCATGGTAACAACGTATCCGTCGCCGAATCTGGATGGGAATGACACGGCGATCAGATCAGGTGATGTTATTAGAAATATGAGCTTAAGTTGACAGGACTGACTTGTATTTTAGATGCTGAATGGTTCCCAGGCATTTGAAGGATCCATTGACCATAATAGCTAAGCGGGTACACAGAGCTTCACATTCTTCCATGCTGTAAGAAAATAAAATCTTTTTTAAGCCACTTCGGTGAATACAGAAAATCCCACACACGTGTAGAGTTCAACAGAAAAGGTTAACCTGTGGGAGGTGAGGACCACTGCTCGTCTATCCTGGATAACGCTCATTATGGAGTTCCAAAGGAAACGCCTGGACAGCGGGTCCATACCAGTGGTCGGCTCGTCCTGAGAGAGAAGAAGCAGCAAACAGCAACGATAACGCCTTTATGACAGAATCTTTTCGACTCAACTGTTCTAATAACTATGATCTTCATCCAAAAACCCTGAAGGCCGAGAGGTTTACTGCTCACCAGCAGCACCAGCGCAGGACAGCCAATCATAGCAATAGCTGTGGAGAGTTTCCTCTTGTTTCCTCCGCTGTAGGTCCCGGCACTTCGGCCTGCGTACTCTGATAAACCCAGTTTCTGGATGGCCCATTCAGCTACCTAAAGAAGGTAAAAACTGATGCTTTTCTTAAACAGTTTTATCCGTTTTCCACCGATTCTCTGTGTCCTAATCATCATGACGCCACCAGATGTTTAAATTATCAAAGAGATATGAGACACATCAGTAAACACGATATGATTGATGTACTGATTAGTGTCTTCTCGTGGTTCATAAAATCCTAAAAAAATAAATCTTGTACACCCCAAAATTACAACTTTTACACACCTTAAATCACCTTAAAAGATAAATTACATTATAAGGACAAAATAAAAAAAACAATTCTTGAAGTATTAAAAATGTATATAGCTGTTAAGGAAACATTTGGATCATACAAAAAGAGAGACATTTCCATTTATGGATCAATTATGACATTTTCTGGAACAGGATCTGATTGTTATTTTGTAAACAATAATAAAATATTTTTTTATAGAAAATGACTTTGATGGCAATTTTCTAATAAGATTTGTCCTATTTGAGAGATTAAGAGTTCTAGCTTTTCACAAAGTAAAAGCGACTCATGGAAACAGGGTGATATTTATTGGAGCGAAGTCAGTAAAAACAGCCTATCTGCTGGAAATACTTGTTTGCCAATTATATATTACAAAACAAAAAAAATCATAACTTGAAGGGAAAGGGAAATCCAATAAGTAGGATGAACGTCACAATACTGTATATGAAACGTCTTTAACAGGCTGACCAGTTGGAGTCAGCAGCAGGACCATCAGGAGAGCCTTGATTTTCCTGTATTTATATATATATATATATAAAGAAGACAGTTTTCTGAGCGGACGAATGTTATGTTCATCATATATATATATATAAAGATTAAAAACAGTTTGTAAACTCATTTTCTACTTTTTTTTCTTTTTCTCTGAGCCAAATGAAGGATAGATTGTACATCCACATTTTGAATTTCCTCTTGTCCTCCTTGTGCAGATGTAGGTTAAAGAGATGGTTCTAAGTATAAACTTCATGTACAAAACGTTAAAGAATTTGAGCTGCGTAACACTAGATTTTATACTCCATTCTGTGGTTGCCAGTGCAGAAGAAGGCCTGCTTGCATTAAAGTAAAATTGGGGGTAAGAGTCAGAGAAGGAAATACGTATTTTATTTAATCCTGCCAGATTTGTTTTGCACCAATATTTTCTAATGCGTGATTTCTCTCACCAATAGTGGTTATCAAATTAGTAATAAACGCATTTTTCCCTGACTTCCGCATCTTCAAGCGGACAATTGATCACAACCTTTTAAAATCTCACATTCGAGCTGGACTTTGCTGCCAAAGATCTGCCTTTGGGTGGCTGTTTATTGCTGATACCCAAGTTTCACCGAAAAAAATGTAAATCTAGATAAGTCATTTTTTCTTAAAATAAGTGCATTCGTTCTTGAATTCAGAAGATAAAAGAGACATTTTACCAATGGAACAAGTCAATTTCCATTTAAAATAAGAAAACACATTTGCATTGTCTTATTTCAATTGCATTTTACCTACATATCTTATTTTAAGAGTAAAAATACTAATTCCATTGGCAAATTGTCTCATTTACCTAATTAAGTTAAGGCTAAACACATTTAGTTTAAGACATTTTAACTAATTTCTAGATTGTTTTTCCAGTGTTGAATTTCAATATGTAACATTCAATTTTTTTTTATAAAATAAAAGTAAAAAATGCAACAACAAAAAAATGCATTTGCCTTTGAAGTAGGAGAAATGTATTTGCCTTTTTCACCATTACCCAGTTTAATTGCAGTTTAGCCAGGATCCATTGATCAGACCATTGCATAAAAACAAAGCCTCATTGACCGCCTGCCTTTGCATCATCTATCTACTGTCATCATGAAAGCTGCATCCCACCCTGCTGATCTCAGACTCTGGGACCCCTCTGAGGCGGGCATACAGGTGCAGATGTTCTCTTCCTGTCAGCAGCTCATCGATGGCGCCAAACTGTGGACAGTAGCCCATGTTCTGGTGTACATCCAGGATGTTGGTCAAAATACTGCAAGGATGACAGAATGAAAACACGCCACAACATTAAAAGTTTGTTTTTCACGTTTTTCAACAAGTGACTGATAAAGCCCGCCCCCATGGTAAAATGCCACTCAGTCTCACTGAGAGATGTGATGTGCAGAATGGAGATTACTGCAAAGCATTGTCACCAACATAGCCGAACATGCAGTTAGAACTAACATACACTTAATTTATTTATATAATTGTGTTTTTAATGTTAATAGAATCATTTAAGTAGCATTTTTGTTGTTTGGACAAACCTGTAACCAGAGACGGAAGCTTCCCCTGATGTCACATCTATGTCTCCAGTCAGCATTTTAAATGTTGTGGTCTTCCCAGCTCCATTTACCCCCAGTAGACCAAAGCACTGCAGATAAAGGTGAGAAGAAAAAAAAGAAAAATATCTGACTGCCCACTGCTCAGAGCAGCTGTTCAGAACCAATATAAAGAAAACTAGACAAACCTCTCCAGGCGAAACTCCAACACAGATTCGATCCACTGCAGGGATGATTGTTCCTCTGTATGTCTAACAAGGACACATGAGAAAACAATGAACCACAAATCTCACCGGGTATTGAGCATTTTAATTCTGCCTTGACTTTGCTATGAAATGTCTCACCTTGGAGAGGTCTTTTATGCGTAAAATATCACATTTATTTAGGTTCCTATGTATTCTCTCCCTTTCCTCAGTCACATCTTGATCTTCCTCCAAAATATGAGGCTTTGGGTTATCTGGAATCCTATCATCATGACAATTGGAAAAGGCCTGATTAAAGTCCTAATGCATCTTAGATTATGACGTTTTTAAATGTTACTGTCGCTTACCACTGATCCAGGAAGAAGCGGTACTGAAAAAGGATGTTAATGATAAAATAGACAAATCCCTCGACAGCCATGCAGAATAGGTTCTTCCCAATGAAGTCCCAGTTAAAGGGATCTGGACTGTAATCCTCACCTGAGGAGATAAAGGATCATAGCAAAGCTGTAACACCTGCTTCTCTGTTTGTGGTTGTTTCAGAGTCCTGTACATTGCCTTGCTAAAGTATTTTTGCCACTTAAAGGTATAGTGGAGGATTTTTTGTGAATTTTTGAAAAGACCCTCTCTCTCCACTTTAAAAAAAATGCACATGCACAACCCTGTACACGCTTCCAAGAGGGAACGTCTATTAAATGCGTGCACAAGCCCATTTCTCCTCGTGCACACTGTTTAAAAGTTGCTGTTTGCATCACTCATGCAAGCTTACTTTCCAAAAGAAGATTTACTATTTTTTTCCACTATGTCAGACTTAACAAGGTTAATCGAAAATGGAGACGTGCACGTAGGATGTCCTTATGTAAACATATCACCAGAATGATTGACAATTAGGAGGACCACTTATTTTGATGATCCACCCAGAAAAAGAACATCCTCCACTATACCTTTAAACTTTTCACATTTTGTTACCATATAGTCACACTCCTTAATGTGTTTTTAAAAACTTAGGCAACATGATTTGAGCTTAGGACCCTTGATTTAACCCTTGATTTCACTGCCTTTAACAGCATTCACGTCTTTGCACAGATTCTCTCAGATCTTGACTTCATTTTAACACATATTTATAATTGTAAGGCAAGGCAAGGCAAGGCAAGGCAAATTTATTTGTATAGAACAATTCAGTACAAAGACAATGCAAAGTGCTTTACATGATTAAAATACAGGAAGATAAAACAGAATCAAAGCAAGTAGGAAAAAATAAAAAATAAAATAAAAAATGCAGAAACAAAAAAGAATATTAAAAACAGCTGGACTAAAGAAAATATGTTTTAGTTGAACTGTTAAACTAGAACAGTTGAAGGCAATCCTAAGCAAATGTGTTTTTAGTCTTCATTTAAAGATTTGTAGCTACGTACAGTAGCAGCCATTAGAAAATTTCTGCACTTTCCTTGATGGGCACCTGGCTGCTTGCCTACAATTCCTTTTTTAAACATCAATCTTTGTACTAAAATAATCTTTCTGTCATGATTTGTGGACATTGAGATCTAAAGAGAAGTGTCATCTTCTGGTCAGACCCTGTAATTCAGTGAAAGGGTGGAGTCAGATTTAAAAAAAAAAAAATGCACACCCAGAAGGCCAGTGGCTGGAAGTTGGAGGGGATTTGGCTGGAAGTTGCAGGGGAGAAGGATGCCATTCGGCTGGCATTTGACTGGGAAGGGCCATTTTCAATTGCTGCTACGGTAAACCTGGATGGATGTGAATGACAATGCTAATGGAACCTCTAAAGTCTTTTTCAGCCTTTAACAAGGTTACATGGCTTTTTTATGGATTGAAATATGTGTACTGTATTTTCCTATTTAATGTCCCTACAAAAAGAAGAGCATCTCAACTTCATGATTCTGCGATGAGAATATTTCACAGAGGAAAGGAAGGGAGGTGATGGTTTTACAGCAGACACATGAGAAAGCCCAAAAAGCTCCTTTTTTATCATAGGTCATATTTGCTGTATCTCCAGCATGGTGAATAATAGCTTTTCTGTTAACAAATCCTCCCACCTGAGCTTTGAATCTCTGCAGCCTCTCCACAGTTATGGTACGTTTATTGGCTGCTTCTCGAAATAATGTTCTTGGTAGGTTTGTAGCTATGCTTATTTCCTGTTAATGTGTTGAACAATAAATTTCAAAGATTTATATATTGTGCTTAACACACTTAAAAGACTTAAATTTGGAAACATTTGTTTTAAAAAAAATATGTAAAATCGTCAATCTAACTACTGTAACAAGTAAAAAAGAATAAAATAGATGAACAATCCAGGAGTGGATGTCTACAACCTGATGTGTTCATGACTGTGGGAATGAGGTGCGGTTACCAAAGCGAGCATAGATATCAGTCACAGCTTGGTTCATCGCCATGTCTATAAGTCCTCTACCAAGGCAGTAATGGGGAAAGATGAGCAACACTGTCTTCAACATTTGGTTGAACCTATAAAGAGCCTGAATCAAAAGAAATAAAATAAAGAACATGGATGAGAAGGAAAGAAAGAATGTAGCTTAAAATACAGTACCATATTGACTTACTGAGGTGCTCTCAAACAGGTCCAGGATAAAGGTCATGGCACTGCTGTTGATCCCAATGAAGAGGTTGATACATGACAGAGAGACGTAGGCCGTGCTGGGGACGCTGAAGACGTAGGACATGGGGTACATCATGGGAGTCACAGACCAGCTAAGAGAGAGAGCAACAATGTGACAGTCAATACCAAGTAACACCTTACATTGGTTTATAATTTATTGGAAACAGTTAAAATAACCATCTGTTTCTCAATACTACTTCTTCTCACAAACCATTTATAACAATTTTTTCTAAATTGTGCATCCATAACTGACTTCAGCAACTTCCACAAATACTTACAATGCTTAGAATAACGGATAAACGGCCTCTATATATTTTTTTTTCTTAAAGCAATTACATGATTTCCCAATTAAAAATATAAACAGATTTTGTTTAGAGTTTATTTATTTAGTTGATAAAATAAAAAATATTATTAGTTATTGACATCCAAAACACTTCCTTTGTACCATAAACGTTCCTAAAACATTTTTTAACATTTCAATCACTATTTCAAGATGTTCAAATTGTCTATTTTAATAAATATGAGGCAACACGAAGCCCCATTGCTTCTAGGCACCCTTTCAAAAGAAGAAAGACAAGAGAACATGCCATTAATTTTTTAATTAATGTTATATGAAGTAATGGTGAACTTAAAAATAGTCAATACATGTTTGTCGAATATATTGATGCGGTGATGTTGTTGTTTTGGGGTCTTTTAGGCAGATATTGCATTAGCTTGGTTTACTCCAGGGCCCACATTTTGCTTAATCATTGAAATGATTGAGCACATGTTAATCACTTGCAAATAAATCCATCTTTATTTCATTTTCTTAGTGACTCTGGTGGTGAGATTAACTTCTTATTCAGCCTTTATTGTCATTGCGGTGCATGTGAGAGTTTTTTAAACTGTGAACTCATCCTTCTGACTGTAGATATAGGCATGTTTAGGTGTGTAAGGAGAATTAAATCATTTCTGCTTTAGTTGAATAGGCATCCTCTTTGTTGTTCCAATTTTAAGGGGAGCGAAGATAAATGGGAACTTGTGTCAAATCATAATTATAGGCATAAAAACAGGAGCTCATGGATGAGCATTTAAAGGTGTCTTGAAAAACTTAAAAAGGGATTAACTAACACCATAATTCACTTTTATGTAATAGGAGTTGTTAAAAATTAAAAAACTATATTTTATATTTATATATACATATATATATATATATATAT